TAGAAAAAGCTTATCATTTTGTTGATGGATGAGAAAAAGGATGGTCAATCATGTTAAGAATGGTAGAGTTGGAGGAGTTGATCAATGTATTCCGCAACAGTAGTTGGAACTATTATTGGTAGGGTCTTAGCTCCATATATTTCCACGGAGTATAATCCACTTATATGATCAGTCAATTTTGGGGTGGGAGGTAGATCTAAGAGGGAAGTTTGGTCTTTACTGTACTGTTTTAACTTGGATTGTCTGGATATGCAAGAATGAAAGGTTATTTAGAGGGAAGGACAAGTTTTTCCATATGGCTCTCAAATTGACTGGAAGGAGATCATTTATGTGAACAAAAGGCAAGGTGGGTGGTTGTTTATCCAGATCGGTGTCTAAATTTTGCTCTTTGTGCTTTGGGACTGACCAAAAGAGGAGGTTAGAAGATTAACAAAAGCAGAACTTTCATCAGAAGGCCAATGCAACTTTACTTAAAAACAACATTAAAAACTCCAAATTTAAAGACCTCATTAGAAAAAGATCATTCTTTTTGTGAAGAATTTCTTCTTAATCCAAAGAAACAATGTAACGACAATCCCAAAGCAAAAACATGAGAAATGACAGAGACATTTAGAATGAAGGATGGCAGTAGACTTTGTTCAGGATAGTTAAACACTGTCCAATTAACTAATTTTCTTAAATTGAGTAATTTTACTTTTACTCTCAAGTGATGAATTTTTAGGCACAATAAGTAAAGAGATTTACCTGTTCTAATCTTAGTTAATAATTAATTATTTTTGTATTTAATTAATGTACTAGTAATAATAGGTAATTCAAATTGGTTATTACTCCTAATTAATAGAATATAGTTCAAACAATCCTATTGTGTATCTATAATTTATTTTATATAATTAAAAAACTAAATATATACCATTTCAATTGATTAAGAAAATTAATTATGATATCATTTATGAAGAATAAGCAAACTATATTTACATCTGACTTAAGTCTAACATAAGTGAAAAATTTTTAAACACACTTTGGATGATGGAGATGTTTAATTTCTTCAAATATTAAGGGAAAAATTATATAAGTTATGAAATATCTAATTTATTTTATAATAATAGTTTTTGAGAGCCTTCTATTATTGGTTGTTACTGTGAATTTACTGCAATTATGGTTCTTTTAGGCACAATTGTTTAAGGTA